TTGGCTTGTGTGCTAGTGAAGCAGTTTCGCTGTCAGATTTTCAAACCAAATATTCAGTTATTAGATGGATGTGATTAGTGTTTTGTTTTTTCTGGTAACACATTTATGTTTTTGGTATGCTTTGTTTTCTGACCACTCAGACGACCACGGTGCGAATCCTGAGCGGAACCGTCGACCCACAGACTCTGACAACGAGGAGTTCTGTGACTCAATGGAGCATCTGGCCATGGAGGAGGTTTGCCGTGTCTCTTCGTCTCCCCGATGAAAATAAACGTCAGAACTGGAGATGTACCAGTCAGACAAACAACGCAGCTCTGAACCGTAAAGTTTACTCCTGATTGGATTGATTGGCAGATGGTAGTTTGGATTTTTAAATATAAAGCTAGAAAGTCCCACAATTTTCAGCCTATAAACACATCAACCTACAGGAAGTACATTATAGCACTTTGTAAAGTTATCGGATAGAAATCCGATAACGGTTTGCGACACCTGTTTTGATACTGGAATTAACTTATACACTTGCAAAAATACAAAAGCTTACAAAATACTTTTGGTCTAGTTTCTAGTGCAAATATCATAGCACACTTAAAATAAGACAAAACTAACTTACAAGTAACTTTTCAGCAAGATATGAGAACTATGTCAATGATTCCTTAATACTGATGGAAAAAAAAAGTTCTAGTTCCACTGGCAGATTATTTCCTTTGTAACACGGGAAAAATTTAGCATTATGACTGAAATAATCTGCCAGTGGAAGTTTTACTTTTTCATCAACATTAAGGAATTGTTGACTTAAGCAAGCTCCTATATTTTGCTGGAAAGTTACATGTAAGTTAGTTTAGTCTTATTTCCAGTGTACTGGGATACGTGCACTAGACCAAAAATACTTGTGTTTTTGCAGTGTCTGTCTTTATTCTCTATTGGATTCAAAACTACTACATTTAAAATAAAATAAAAAAAACTGTGTCTCATTTCTTGTTTATTACATTGCTTTAAAAAAAATTGCAGTCTTTCAGTCAGACCTCAAAGAAAACCACTGTTCATGGTGTAGGTGGTTGTCTATAATCGATAGTGTGTAACTCTTTTCGGCTGTGCCCGACTCTTGTTTGCGTGCGCAGCGGCTGCCTCCGTCTAAAGGCCGGTCCCCCGGGTCGGGAGCTACATCGGCGAAGACGAGCGACGTTTGGTTTGAGAGCAGCACGACCTTGAAAGATGCCGAAGACGAAGGACCGGCGGGAGATTTCCACATGAAAGAAAAAGCGGCTCTGAGAAAGCACAGCAGCTCCTTGTCGAAACGAGAACGAGGGCGAGGTGAACCTGCAGTAGTTTCCCCTGATTACACTGCATCACTGAAGGGGCAGTATTATGTGTTCTCCAGGCATTTAGTGCCATTTTATAGCACAATCAAGTAACTGCGTTAACTTCAGTTTCTTTTTTTTTTTATTGCTACATGTATCAAATACTAAATTTGACTTTATAATTTAACGCCTTGAAATTGGGGCTCTGTCGCCTTAAAAACTCCTGGTGTTTCTGAAACTCCGTGAGGCAGAAACTCTATAGCTTGAAAACTGCAGCTTCCCTGAAGGCGGGGCTAGGTCCAACCAAACCTTTTGCACATAATCGTTCCCATGGGAGATTAAGGGATTTCTCAAATATGCATGAAATAATCAAGGCAACACTACAGGTTTGTTTTTGATGAGGGAATAAAATTATAACGCGATCTTTAGCTCAAAAAAGTCGAATTTTGCATAAAACCGCCCCTTTAAAACGTTGATTTTCCCCACAAAGTTCTTGTTCTTGAATGCATCTCTTGTTCTGTCGCAGGTTCGCCCAGAGCCACCTGCTTCCCTCTGCGTTGTGCAAGCGCAGACGCTGCCTGTGGTTGTGTGTTGCGGAGCACACATCCTGCCGTTGCTACGAGGGGAAACATGAACGAGCAAATAGCAGCTACTCTGCAGAGGCTGCAGCACAACATGGCCGACGTGCTGCACAGGCTGCATGCTCTAGAAGAGCTCACCAGGTCACAGGTGATCAACCAGAACCGCCAACTGCTTTATTTGCTTCAGCGGCATCCGGACTTGTTCTGTTTTACGTCACATTTTTTGCTCACCTCGTTTACCGACACCGGTCTGCGTATCCTAAAAGATGCCTTTATTTTCTTATTTTTAGTCAAGACCTCCATCTCCAAGACAGGAAGGCTTCCTACCTGTCCCACGAAAGGTTCTCGTCATGTCTGTTCTCTTCTCACTGTTCTCGTTCTTATTATTACAGTAGCAAAGAGTGAACGTCAATGGCATAAATATTTCTATAAGGTTTTCTGCATAAATTTTTTATGAGATTCTTTAGTTTTGAGCTGACAAAATTAATGGTCTCCTTTTATTAATGGTCATTTATTGGCCAAAATAGATTTTGGCAAAAAAAAATAAATAAATAAATAAATGTAATTGCGTTTAAAAAAAACTTGGCACAACTAGTTAATAGGTTTAGGTAGCAATTATTTTTCACATAGGAATTAATTTTATTTTATTTTTTTTTTTGCCTGAATAAATCAAATCATCATAACCCTCACCTCCAGAACATAAAATGAAGAAACAGCATGCAGGCAAACTGTTAAAGCTTAAGGGGTTAAAAAATATATTCTGGACTTACTTGTGTAATTATCTTATTTAAGAAGGCGTGGACAACAGATGCAACTTTTAAGTTTTAGAAAAAAACAGATTCCTCTTCACTTGATTTTATGAATGACATTTGTATTTAATACAACCATATGCTGGACTTAAAATCATTTGAAGCTTTAAGTGTGCACACTGATAATAAAGGAGGCATTTAGGTAGCAGTGAGGAACTTATTCACGTATTTGGTTGTGGGATTTACATGATGCGATGACGTGAAGACACTAACATCAGACCCAGCTTTAAAAAAACATTGAACATGTCAGTGAGGATCATCTGTTAAAACCACATCCGAATCGTTTAAAATCTAGATTAAGACGGTAATTACACAATAGTAGCTTCCTGCTAAACTAAACAGCTTCCTGTAAAAAATAAAATATTCATATTTTCTACCCTTCAAAAGAACATAGAAAAACATAGATGAAATGGAAAAAAATCTGCCAGTGGAACTAGTGCTTTTTTTAAAATCACTATTAAGGACTTAAAACAATCTCTAGATTTGCTGAAAAGTTACTTGTAACCTAGTTTTCTCATTTAAAGTGTGCCGAGATATTTCCACTAGAAACTAGGACAAAAATACCAAAGATTTTGCCATCTAGCCACTTTGATAAGGTTCAGGCAGTGATGCATAAATTTGCACCATGGTAACCAATTTTTGTGTGAACCCCAGAAAGCTATAATTGTTTTTACTCGTAATCATCATATGAGCTCAAAAGTGATGTTTCTCCCCTGACAAATATCCCATTACCTCAGTAAAAAAGATAGTTTTTGGAATAATGAGTAACATTTTGCATTAAAGCGGCATGTTTACAAAACATGTTTTTTTCCATAATTATTAAAACTGTCTTTATGTTGTGACAGTTTTGTATGAGACAGATAATCTGTGAAAAATCTGAGCTCCTCCGACACCTTTCCGCACTCCTACTGTCGGTCAGAGCCAGGAGGGCTGTCTTAGTGCTGTCAATCAAGTTCGTGTATGCTGCTCAATGTGCTAATGGTGGAAAAACAACTTACTGTTACAGGAAAACTGTTTAGTTGTGGCTGTGCTAACTAGCATTAGCATTAGTGGCAGGTTATGTTGTGGTGAACCAGCAATAGCTTAGCAAAGAGCAAGCAGGAGAAGGGCTGAGCATGAGAGTTATTGACAGCGCAAAGACCCTCCTCCTGGCAGTGATCTGTTTCTGAATGGTGTTCTAATGTAGTTAGTGCTGGGAGCACTGGGAGAAGGCAGAATAATAATTTTAACAAATACTTAAAAATAAAATCATATGATTTATAAATAAAAGTTGCATGATGCATCTTTAACCAAAGATAAAGACTTCCATTTCATTTCACCTTCATAGATATTTATTTTCTGATCTAAGGAAAACGGCATGAAAAGGGTAATCCACAATAACGGCTGTAGAAGGAGCAGCTGCTTTCACATGTTACAAAACGTGTTACAGTCGCTACCAAAATGTTATTATCGTTTGTTCATTTCGGTTTCTGTCGGCTGCCTGTGTGTGTTGTAGCTCCTGAGGCCGTCTTGGTGGCCTTTCCACCTCTCTCCACTCACTGTGGTGTTGACGGCACTCTGGCCTCTTGTCACCCACTGGCTTGTCCAACTTTATTTCCAGCGTAAAAGAAGGTGAGCAGGATTCATGCCTAATAATAATAAAAGCTTACTAGATTTTAATATTTTATTTCGACTCAGTTTCCACTCTTCTGTTCACAGGAAAATACCGTGAGGGTTCTGACACCCGGCAGGAACCAAAAACGCACTTTTGTTTCCCTGTGGCTTCGCTCCAGCTGACATTCCAAACGTGCAGTTATGAAACTTAAATCTGAAAACTGCAGGAAATTGGTGGTTTCTCCTAAGCAAGGGGAGCCCTGTTAGGTGTGTGAGAAGGTTTAATTATAGCCTGTAGCCACAAAATGACTGAAATGAAATGATAGTTTATGATTATACAGTGACTGTAGTTCACCAGTGTTGGGAGTTTTCTAGATTCTCGTTATTATTTATTTGGTGGATCACGTTTGTGCAGTTTAGTTAATTTTAATGTATCGGGAAGATATATTTATAAATAATAAATCGGTGTTTAACGTGCGTGTTTGTTTATTTTTTTACATTTAAATAGGCCGAGGGTATTTCTCTTAATATCTGATATACATTTCATGTAGCAAGCAGAGATTTTAATATGTAGCTTGTCGCTGCAGTGCACTAATAACGATTCCTCCTTTTACAAAAGCTGAGTCAAAAGCTGACTGCTGAGTCGGCTTTTGTTTTTGTAATTTAGAAAACAAAAAACCTGTGTGAGGTGGGGGAAAAGAAAAGAAGAAAAATATATGCTTTTAAAAAATGAAAAATAATAAAAGCAACACAGAAACTTCTATTGCACATACTGCGAGGTTTGCAGTATGTGGTTTCAGGTGTGTGTTTATGTCATAATTCCTCCTACATCTGCAACATATACTACAGACAATCTATATTAGCCTTAGCTAATCATTCATCTAGTCAGTTTTACAGTATAAATTAAGATGATGTAAATTTTACACAATCTTACAGCAAGACTAGTTGTAATATGTGACTGAAACTTGAAATGTATAATAAAACATTTTTTGTAACAAACCTGTTCTTGCGTCAGTGTTTAAAGTTATTGTTAGTCTGTGGTTGTTGAAAACATTCCATGCACCAAGTATTGATTCCCTCAGCTGATATTTGCATTTTTATTTATTCTTTTTTTAAATACTGGCATGTTTATGAGCATTGGTGCTTGTGAATCTACAGAAGCTGCCACAGTCAGCTCATTTAGCCTATGAACCATCCCAGTTGTATATATGGGGTGCAAATGGAGAGAAAATGGAATGAAATTTAAGCCCCGAATAGGCAAAATAAGGACTCTGTGTTAAATTCTCTATTTTTGTTTGGGTTAGAAAAATTCTGGGTGTTAAGTGGAACTCAGCTGGGTAAGATACACAAAAAAAAAAAAAAACAAATGTGAAGTTTTAACCCAGCTAAAAAAATAATAAAAAAATACAGTTTTTATCCAAAAAGGAAATAAAATTTTCTTGTAGAACTTACTCTTCTTTGGTCTCTGGTTCTGCTCAGTAGCAGTGAGTGGTTCGAGCCAAAATATTGTCGATAACGTCAATAATCAGCACATTGCTTCTTGAAATTTTATTTTATTTTTGTAATGTAGTTTCTCAACTCTACCCCACCTCATTTTGTTCTTAAAATATATGTATTTTTTGCACTCTAATGGGAAAATGAAAACACGTTTATTTCGTTTTTCTATTGTTTCTGTTTATCATGTTAATATGTTGTATTTTGTAGACAAATTTATTCCAAATTATGTCCTAACGAAATAATTCAAAAGAGAAATCATAAAAACACGTAAAAGTCAGAAGCTTCCAGATATTTTAAAATTAAATATTAAAAAGTATTGTTATTGGTATCGGCGACACTGGCCCTATATTTATATGATGTTATATCAATATTCAATAGTTTATTCTGTAGTTTCTGTTTCACTTGCTCTGGAATTTGGCGTCATAGTTCAGGTTTTATGTGTATTTTTTGAACGCTACTAAGCTGCTCCCAGTTTTAAAACAATACCTTGTTTCCACGATTACGCATCATAACAATTGTCTGAAAGTAAACAAATAAGACCAAAAAATAATAATTCGCATCCAAAGAATGAAAAACCACAGGGAATAATTGTCTAGGTATGCAATATCTCAACAACAAAAACACAAGAAAAAAGCCAAGAAAAAAAAAACCATAACACAACTACTCCGCCACTTTGTCACCATTATAACTCCACCAATTTATTCTGTTAAAACAAACGTCATTTTAAATTCACTTCAAGAATTTATTCGAGCTGATTCTCCATTATTTACAACTTTCTTAACCAACGGAACTAATCAAAACAAAATAATTTTCGACAGGGACCCCCTTTGTTGTTGTTATTGCCACAATACCGTTGACGTCATATCCGGTTTAATCCTCCCCGCCGGTGTCAGTGCTGCTCTGCTGAAGTTCGCAGTTGAACTTGCTATGCCTGCTGCGGAGAAGCTTAGGGGAGCATACCGACGCCTTTAACTCTACGGAAATAGAGATATAAAGTGACTCAGACTGCCGCAGCGGATATTAGCGGATGATGTTTTCCTTGTCAATGTCTGTCCAGCCACAGGTAAGAAACAAGTAGGCCGAGCTAGCTTTAGCATTGTTGTTGTTTTTGTTTCTGACCTACCCAGCTGGGCTTCGCCTGCTAGGTCAGACCCTGCTGTTTATCTCATGAAACCTTATTAGTTTGTGTGGACATTTAGGGACACTCAACAATTGTACATATGTTTTCCTATTCTACCTTGGTATACATTTAAACTGTTCCAGCTTTGCTTCACCACATTGAGTAATAGTAGTACGCGGAATACTTGGCGTGTTTCAGATATAGCTTTAACATAATTCTGGGACAACAAATGGGGGTTTGATCACCGCTGTTTGAATCATCGCAGGTGACTCTACCTCTCAGTCACCTCATCAACATCCTTCACCCCCTGAAGAGCTCAGTGGGAAGCAGTAGCAGTGCCACCTGCAAGTCAAGAAAACAAAAGGAGCATGTCCCGGAGGAAGATCTGCACCGTACAGAGGTATAATGCAACAACCCTGGGCGACGTCAAATTGTTCAAATATCATCTGATGTCAGTCTTTTTGTCCTTAAACCTATGGGGTTCCATTTGTATCAAAAATAAGTAGAAGTCATATGTGTAGATGTGTCGTTGCTATGTGTCGTTGGTCTATGTCGTTGGTCTATGTTGCATGTAGATGTAGATGTTGCATATGCGTTCGCTGCATATGTGTTTGCTGAATATGTAGATGTTGCATATGCGTTCGCTGCATATGTGTTCGCTGCATAT